TGCCCCTTCATTATTAACAAGTGAGTTACAAAATTGATAAATCATGTTAGTATTTTTCTTCTGAGCAATCCAGGCGTATCAATTAACAAGTAATGTAATTTATTTTAAAAGTTAACAATTTAACAAATTAGGATTTAACTGGGCCCGATACATTTACAATTAAATCTACGAATTTAGCAAGTAATATTATCAATTTAACAAATAGTCTAACAAATTGAAAAAAAAAAAAAGAATAACAATACTGTTAAACGTCATTTCCATGATATGTCCATGAACCACCTTTTGTCATTTCAACGATAGCCAATTAATTAATTGACAAGTTGTGTCGATATCATAATAGGTCAATTTTAAGTTATAACTAGTATCATTATGCATGTCCATTAATCATTCTGAATTTTCATATCAAAACTTAATTCTAATAGTCCACCCTCAAAAATTGACAAGCAAGAATAACTATTTGACAAGTAGGAATAACTGTTTGACACTAGGGACAACAATCATCAAGAAAATAACAACTTCAGATTGCTAGATATACAAGTAAACTTACAAAATTGACAATTAATTTCATATTGAAGATCGTCACAGTTTTTTAGCAAGTACTGTCATGAAATTTTATAGTCATTTGAATCATATTGCTCAAACTGACATGGAAAAAAGTTGCAACCAGTTTTCAATCATACACTCGTCAAGCCTCCATTTATTAGTTCTTCATTCGTCATCCCTTCCGTTATCAAACTTCTACTTAAAATCCCACCCTCATATATCAGCTTAAGCTCTGCGGAACAATGATTTACTGTATGATTGTGTTCGGAAAAGTTGAGGCACCGAAAGAAATGGAGATGCATGTTACTTAGATTCACAAAGGGGAGCAATGTCTTCAAATGAAGAGAGTGAAGAAATCGAATTCAATCTTTGAGGAAATCGTGTTCGACGCCAAGGAGATGTCCGCAAGAAGTTCATTGATCGTGCTCAGAGATTTTCTTTGATCGTGGACGAAAAGTTTTTCACAAATGCTAATCTTCATTTCAATTTAAGGGTCTTTGCCATTTGCCTTTCAATTTTATTTTCATTTTAGTCCTGAAAGCTTGTAGTGTGTTATCAGAATTCTTTGGGCCTAATTGGTAAATAAATTGCTTTCTTGATCCTTCATTGAAATTCTCCAAAAAGAAAAAGTAAGCCAAGATGTGGTGAAGTGCCAAAAAATTAAAAATATCCCAAAATTTAAAGTCTCTATACTTATACAGTTATACTCCCTCTGTCTCGCATTTTTATCGTAGTCGTTTTAGAAAATTTCTCATGTGCTCCAAGAAAAAGAATCAAAAACATCATAAATTGATAAAAGAATAAAAATGTAGACTGAGAATTGAAATTATAAAAAATGATTTTTTAATAATTATTTATAAATAGATATTTCTTAGTTTAAATTAAAAAAGTTTCAGTCTAGCGAAATATATTAGATTCTCATAATATAAGAAGCCAAAATTTAAATAAAAATGTATTCATATATATTGTCTGTCCATGCTTTCAACAATATTGTATGCTTTCAACAATATTGTCTTTAATAAAAACACACTTGTATTTATTAAAAAAAAAAAAAACACACACACACACACACAGTGCTATGTACTTAAATGGGGGATGAATGAGAATAAAGCAGCTTGGGCACCGCTGTGTTGAGTAGTCGGACACTGAAGGAGGATGCCAACATCCTCATTTTGCCTTCATATTCTTCAAATAAATGAGTTATTTAGTAATCTATATTTTTTTTATTAAAAAAAGCATTTCTTTTGAATTTCATGTGTACTTATTTATTTTTTTATTTTTTAAGGGTAAAAGTATATTTTTATCCTTACCTAATACCTTAAACTATTAGTTAAAATAATTTTATTTTTAAAGTAATTAAAATAAAACATTTTTTTAATTTTCAAATTCTCAACGTTCATGTTAGAAAATGCTAGTTGAAATTCTAACTTTAACTATTAGGAAATTTAAGGATAAGAAAAAAATCCTTCATTTTAATTGTTTTAAATGCAAATTTATTCTAATTAATAATTTAGAGTGTTGAATGTTCCTTAAAAAATATTTTAAAAACAAAAATATAACTCTATTCTATTTCTTAGCATATTAATGCCAATGTCTCGTGTTACAATGGCACATTTACTCCTCTTATAATAAGATGATGCATGTTTAAACCCTAAAATGAGTTTGGGGGTGTAGTTGTAATCGTCCTGTACTAAAAGAAATATATGTGATAAAATTTTTTATTATAATTTATTAATTTAAAAATTTCTTAATATTCTAATTATACTCTTATTAATTAAAAATATTTTTACAGAATCTTATTATATTTGCTCAAATTAGGAGAAAAATATCTATATATATATATATATAGAGTAAAGTGCATCACGTTACAATTCATCGGCAGTTGGATAAACACTACCGCGACTTAAAAAAAAAAAAAATAATCCTTGTATATTAATATTTCATGTAGGACATGCAACAAAAATAAAAAATAGGTGTGGGACCTGTAGTAAAAATGCTTATAGATATGAAACTAATAATAAAAATATGTATGAGATCTATTTTTTTTCATAAATGTATGAGATTTATTATTTGTGGCTTGTATTTTGTTTATGTATAAGACAATTAATTATATATCACATACAAATTTAAATAGTAAAATATAAAATAGAATATTTTATTATTTAAATCAATCAACTTATTCCTATTTATTTTTATATATGAACAAATTTTAATCAATTCACACAGTTTAAAAAATTTAGTTAATCCTAATAATTATATCTGAAGTTGAAAAGTTTAAATTAAAATATACTTATGATTAATATTTTTTTCCTGATTTAATGATACTATATTTAATGAAGAGTAATTAAAGAATGATGTCGTGAATACTCTTTGAAAATTATTGTTTTGCTTGTAAAAAAAAAACAAGAAACTATGTGAAAATTTTGCTTATGTTTAAAAATGGGAAAAATATATAGTAAAATTTATCAATAGATTATGATAGAATTACAATGATTTTATGAGATACATCAAAACTGGATTTGATGACTGGAATAAATATTATCACTTAATAAGTGCCATATGTGGTATGATAATAATTATTCAATTTAATTATATTGTTATGAGATATTTTATCATAAAATATTAAAAAAAGACTAAATCTTAATTTTTTAAAGGAGACAACGAATGTGATGAGTTTTTCCATTATGAGAGTTATTTTAAAATTTTATAAGAAAGTACATCTTGATAATTTTTAAATATTAATATTATTCAATAATATAATTAATATACTCATTGAATGAATAAATTTAGATTATTTAGTGAATTCAAATTCAACATAAATCATTATAGTTTTATAATAATCTAACTATTTTAAAAAAATTAAAATTTTATTTTAAAATATTGAAATTGCTAGCATTGAATATTATAGATAACTATAATCAATCATAATTTTAAAATTATGTTTTAATATATCTATTTTTTATCATAAATTTCGGATGTGTAATAAAAATATAAATGGGAAATTTATAACAAAATTATAAATTTAATTTTCATAAATTATAAAAATTTAACTCTACAAATTTAAAATTTGAAATGAGTTACTTGATAATTACTTTAAATAATAATTTTTTTATTTAAAAATGTAAGGTATTTTTTGAGGAGTTAAATATTTAAAAATGTAAGGCATTTTTAGTCTTTCGAGCTGTAATCATTGTCTTTTTTTTTAAAAGTACCTATATTAATAATAATTTTATATTTATTGTAAAGTGTTTAATAGAAATAAATATGAAAAGATAGGGTTAATCAAAAAGTAAATAACTACTTTATTGGGATGAGATTCAGTTAAAAATGCCTTATATTTTTGAACAAAGAGAGTAAATATTTAAAATACCATTTAAATAAAAGATATTTAAAATGTCAAGAAAAACATTTGATGTGAGCTTAAAAAAAATAATGGTTCCATGTGCAATGAAATGATATAACTCATTTTTGATATTAATACCACGCAGCTAATATATTATTTATGTACATGCAAACTACTTATATATAAAAATAATCAAATAAATAAACCTAACATGAGGTCTTTTCAATATAATCTTTATTAATTTATAACTACTTTTATTTATTATCTTCTAGAATGATGTTATACATTATATGAAGTGTTCCAAATTCTTGATAATATCATTTTGCATAACTCTTCATTCTATATAATCTAAAAATATAAGAAAATTTAGCACAATGAATTAGAAAATCCAATCTATCATAATAAACTTGACAAAAAAAATTAAAAATTTAAAATATATAAACTTAAATTTCATCATAACTATAGGTGCCAATGGGTGTGTGAATACAAAACCAAGGTACCAAAAAAAAACACACACACACACGATTGCCTTAGGAAAAAGAAAAATAACAGAGGAAGTAGGTAATAAAGGTGAGATAGTTTTATGTGTAAAAAATATTAAATCATTAAGAAAAACAAATTTAAAGTAAGCTTTATTAATAAGTTAAGTAACATTGGTTCTGTGTGAAATAAATTAATATATTTCATTTTTAACATGGATACTGCACAATTAATACAGTATTAAAGTATATAACATATATACTACTTATATATAAAAATAACTAAATTACTGAATCTAACTAATTTTATATGAACACTATAATTCATTATCATGAACATAATGAACATTGCATCCTCAGGAAAAAAAATCTAGTTTATTATAAAAATAAAAACAATATTTTATTTAATGTTTTAATATAATTGCAGGATGGAATAATGTTGGTGACTCCCCTTTAAATAAAAAGGCGCTTTTCATCGGCAATCAGACAAAGCACACTACAGTCTCTGTCATCGCAAATTCCACTTCCATTGCGTCATCTTCACCGTCCTGGTGGGCTGGTCTGCTCCTTCTTTCACGCTATTTTAATTAATTGAATTTTAGTTATTATTATTATTATTATTATTATTTGGTTGGATTCGGTTTTCGTCTTTCTTTTTAAGTTCATCTACTCCACGAGTCGAATTACTTCTTCAAGCTTAAGCTCCTCAAGCTATGGCCACCACTCTCCTCTACCTCTCCCTCTTCCTCTTGGCCTTTTCCTCTGCCGGTTTGTTCTTTCTTTTCTTTCTTGCTTTCTTCCGTGTCTTACCTTTTGGCCTTTCATTGTTTTCTGAGAAAGTTGAGATCAATGCTTTGCCCTCCTCATTGCGGCAAAGTGGTTCCGCTTTCTGGGAACTTTCTTTCCAACATTTCCCTCGAAAGTGAAAGTTTTTTTACCTTTCTCATTTGCCATATGGAATAATGAAGTTTTTTTACCTTTCTCATTTGCCATATGGAATAATGAAGTCATTCGTTCTAGACTTCCAGTGGATACACCAAGAACAAATCTTTGTGTTTCACTGTTTAAAAGGACACTACAGTTATGAAATCGCTTCGGTTCTTAAACAAATTTGGATTTTGAATCCATTTAATCCTGTTTGAGTGCATGTACTTTCTTGGGTCTCTGTATCTTTCGTCTTGCAGAGCAACGGCCGTTTCTTGTAAATTTTAGGTTTTGAATCGAACTTCAGTTGGATTTAAATTGTGTCCCCTCGTTGCACATTTCCTTTTCTAGGGTCTTTCTTTCTGAAATTTCTCGGGAAAGTGATATCTTGCATTCATTCTAGCACATGAAATGAACAAGTCTCTTATGTTTAATTTTGATAATACTACACTTTCAGATTAACTTCGTTTCTCTTGAATTTTGGATTTTGCATCGATTCATTTCTTCTGTAGTAGATTTTAAGTTCCTGGGCCTCTCTCTGTTTCTTCCCCTTTCTCGCAGAGTCGCAATCCTTCATCGGCGTGAATTATGGCCAGGTAGCCGACAACCTTCCGACGCCGGAGGCGACGGCGAAGCTACTCCAGACCACCACCATTGGTAAAATCCGGCTGTATGGCGCCGATGCTGCGATCATCAAAGCCCTTGCAAACTCTGGAATCGGAATCGTCATCGGTGCCGCCAACGGTGACATTCCGAGCCTAGCCTCCGATCCTAACTCGGCGACTCAATGGATCAAGACCAACGTGCAGCCCTTCTACCCATCCAGCAACATCACTTTGATCACCGTCGGTAACGAGGTCATGACCTCCGGCGACCAGGGTTTGATCTCGAAGCTCCTTCCGGCAATGCAAAATGTCCAAAACGCCCTCAACTCTGCCGGGCTCGGCGGCGACAAGATCAAAGTATCGACCGTGCATTCGATGGCGGTGTTGACCCAGTCGGATCCACCGTCTTCCGGGGCGTTCGACCCGGCGCTCCGAGACACGTTGAAGCAGTTGCTGGCGTTTCAGAAGGAAAACAAATCTCCCTTCGCGATCAACCCGTACCCGTTTTTCGCATATCAGAGCGACCCGAGACCGGAAACGCTGGCGTTCTGCCTTTTCCAACCTAACTCGGGTCGGGTTGATTCGGGTAATGGAAAGCGTTACACCAGCATGTTCGATGCCCAGGTCAGTGAGCCGCCACCTTTTTTTTTCTTTTTGAATAAATACTGAATCCATTGCTAAAACATCAGAGACGCTACAAGAACAATCTACAAAGAAACAGATGAAAAACTAAGCCCAAGAACCCAGAACAACCCTCTTTCATCGTCATCTAAAATCTAAACAGCAAACAAACAATGATTAAAGAGACAAAAACAAATTTTCAAAATGTGAGCTAACTTAGCTGAAGAGTAGTCATCAATATTCTGTTCGCGGTAAATATGGTTAAAACTTGTAAGCAACATACCTCTTTTTGCTGCGCTTTTCTTCGTTATATTTTAAAATTAATTTTCTTTGTGAAATAAATTTTTTTTTTGTAATGAAAAGTTGACGTGGGAGTCGACAAAAATGTCTTGAAAGAAAAGACTATTCATGGACGCCAACGATGGTAGACGATCGTAAGACTTTCGTCAATTCGTCAACCGCGATCAGCTTCTATATTTCCGCCACGTGGCCTGTCTTTTAGTTTTGTAATTTTTAATTTCAAAGGAAGCAAAGTGGAAAAAAATTAGATTAACTACTTTAATATTTAATTAGTGTTCAGAGGAGGTGCAATTTCTGAATATGATTATGGCCTTTTCTTTTGTCGGCATTACTATATTTATTATTCTTCTTGTTAAATTATTGGGTCATTACTATGAATTTTATCATTATGAATCTTACTGTGTTGAACGTGGGAATAAGTTAAACATTCCAAGGGAAAAAAAAAAATCATCAATGATTATAGTATCATCATAGATTTCTCGGTTCATTGTTCATAGTACCAATCTAGTACAGTAAAATTGTTACAGTTGCTTCACATAAAGGTTTCTACGTTCTGAATGGGGCATTGTTTTTGGATGAGGGGTCTAATCAATAATCAATAACCAAAGGATTCACTTAGGATTCGTTTATAATGATTTTGTTATGAGAGTTTTTAGTCATAGTCATTTTTTATTATTACATGACTGGCTAAACTAAAATAACAAGAATTTAATAAACTTTGCCATTTTTTCCAACTAAATTTCTAGCAGGTAGATATTTTAGAACACATCCAACATAAATAAATTCATCAATTTTTTTTTAAAAAATATAATTTTAAGTTCTTGTATTTTTTTTTTATATTCTAAGTTTTTATGCTTTAATTTTTCAATATTCCAGATATCTCTATGAATAAAATGTAAAAATCTTGAAGGGATCTAAAATATCAAAAAAAAAAAATGTGGAAACCTAATATACCCAAAAAAGAGGTACGATGACCAATAACAAAGTGCAACTAAAGTATAAATATTTAAATTCATGTTTTTTTATTTTTAAATTTCTAAGATTTTCTGTTACCCTTTTTTTCTGGTTCTTGTGTTAGGATTCTAGATAATTTATTTTATTTTATTTTATTTTTTTACAAAAGAAAGAATTTCAAAATGAAATAAAAATTTTTATGTAAATTTTGAATGATTTGTATTGCCCAGGGAGAGATGAATAATGAATGCCTTGGTTGTTAGATTTTTGCCTTTTTGTTGGGGCTAATAATTGCACCATGACAGGCTGGTTATTCACTGTGTGCGCGCGTGTCGTTCAAGGTTACAATAATTGTTGCACATGCCTATATTTTAAATCAACTCAGAAGATTGAAATTAAAAAAAAAAAAAGAAAAGAACAATAGTGAAAGGTTATGGCAACACCTTATCCCTTTCTACAAGGCAAGACAAGCCACATAAGACCCATGTCCAATCTTGCCCCCCTGATATCACTGAGAATGAAGACTAGTTTCTTCACATTTATCATGTTCGATTCACAATTTAAATTACACAATCCAACCTCAAGAAAATTAAACTTAACCCAAATCAGTAAGCCTTACCAACAGGACTTGGTTATGATAGTGTTGTTGAGTGTGTGTTTTGAACAGGTTGATGCTGTTCATTCCGCATTGAGTAGTGTAGGATTTGATGACGTGGAGATCATGGTGGCGGAGACAGGTTGGCCGTCACACGGGGATAGCAATGAGGTGGGACCGAGTGTTGAGAATGCAAAGGCCTATAACGGCAACCTCATTGCTCATCTGAGATCATTAGTTGGGACCCCTTTGATGCCTGGAAAATCTGTGGACACTTTCATTTTTGCACTCTATGATGAGGACTTGAAGCCTGGTCCTGCATCAGAACGCTCCTTTGGCCTCTTCAAAACCGATCTTACCATGACTTATGATGTTGCCCTCACCAAGACCAGCCAGCAGGTCACGAACCCTGAGAATTGATTTGTGTTTTTGGTTAATCGTAGTCTCTATAATGCCCCAGATGCACAGCTAGGGCTGATATGTAGTTCTGATGTTTTTTGACAGACTCCAACTAATCCCAAGACTCCGGTTATGCCAGCGCCTACAAGTGCGCCCGGATGGTGTGTGGCGAAAACCGGCGTGTCTGATACTCAGTTGCAGGCGAACTTGGACTATGCTTGCAGCCACGGGATAGACTGTGGACCAATTCAACCGGGAGGGGCTTGTTTTGAACCAAACACAGTAGCCTCTCATGCTGCTTATGCCATGAATCTGTATTACCAAACACAAGGCAAAAATCCTTGGAACTGTGATTTCTCTCAGACAGCAACGCTCACATCCCAAAATCCAAGTGAGTTCTTCCTAGCCCTTCAAATGTTTTCCATAGGCAATAGAAGTAAATGGGGTTTACGATCTTAAATTAACTTGATTTTCTTTTGTGTCTGTAGGTTACAATGCTTGCACTTACCCTGGTGGGAGTACTTGAAAACACAAGCTTTTTGATGTTGTTGATGAGTGATTGCGTTTTGATTTGACTTAATGAATAAGGGACTGTATTTTGCCCTCTTCTATTTATATATATTGTTTAATATCAGCCAATTGTAAAAGAGTTCCAATTCCCAACTTGGCTTGTCCATTATATATTGAATGTAATTATGTTGGGGCGTAGAAAAAGTGATGCGAGGGCCCTTTTTGTCCTAACTGAAAAATCCCGAGTTCAATAAAACAAAGCATTCAGAAAAATTGCGCATGATCTTTTTCTTCCTTGGGAATGAAAATGTTCATGTGAAAATCGGGTCACAAATAATGCTTATCAATGCCATCCCTCGCGATCACATCAAATGTATTATAGCTTTCAGTTTCAGTCAGTTGTCAGTGAATAACATAACTTGCTAGTAGCGTATTGGTTCACTGGAAAGGCGGAATCGAGTAATAAAAGATGATTTATTTCCATTGCGAGTTAAAATTATAATGATGTCTCGAAATAAAAGTAACAAGTGCAGGATGTTTATTTGCCAACTCGGTCGAAAAATAGACTAGTAGTATCACTTGCAGAGTTCTGAGCAACGTGAATGAGCAGGATAAGATGAATATTCCAGATAAAAATTGACAAATTGACAGATATTCAATTAATCAAGGACACAGAAATCTAGGCAACGCCTCAAAATTCATAATACATTGGCCAACAAGGAAAACAATCACGTATAATCATGAGAGTGCAAGTCACTTCAATAAGCCGAACCTGTTACTTGAACTAACATGGCTCATTTAACAATCATGCAGCAATGGCAGAGAACTCCATATATTGCCCAATTGAGTACTATATTGCAATTCTTTACACAAGCCTATCTATGGGACTGTTTAACTCCAATTGCATTCACTATCCAGAACAAAAAGAATCATATCTGTAGGATTAACTAGCCGCTCGCTACAATCTCGTGGATGGCATCACTGACAGATTCATCCTCCGATCTAACCGCCAGTTTCATCGCAACATCCTTTGGACCGTCGAGTCCAAAGGACAAGCGCACAAGCACCTTTACACTCCCTATAAATACACCAGACAATAGACATGTGTGTGACCTTGCATTGGGTGGGACAGTCTCTGTGCCCTGCATATAACAAACAAGTGAGATGAGAAACAAGCTTCACTCTCCGAATGACAATACGATGACGAAAAGAACAATATGCTAAACTTTTTCAAACCCAGTCAACAATTAACAGTTACCAAAATCCCAATTGAAATAACTAAATCACCTCACAAGGGTGCATGCCAAGTAGATTGATGACGGTATTTACAGCCTCCGCCAAGCTCTCTCTTGGGCCAAGCCCATATTCATCCACTCGCTCAGCATCAGGATCCATGTTTTCCCATGCATTTCTAAAATTAGACACTCCCACTTTCAACATGTAATCGGCTGCAACAACATCCAAATCCTCAAGCTGGTATTCATCTTCAACACCATCATCTTCTGCCTCACCGGTGGATGGGTCAACCTGATGAACATCGACCCATTAAATAAGCATGAGACATTTTGCCAAAAAAATAAAAATAAAAATTGCTGTTCTGTTTGTCCTCATGCACTCCATACTAGCTGATAAGGCTTCTTGTTGCTGTATCATACCCACTTTTTTAACATTTAAGTCTAGCTGATACATGTAAAGAAAAATGGAAAGAACAAGAAAAAGTTCCATAGAACCCAATGTTGCAGTGTTCATGGTTTGTAAATAGAGTGGCACTTCATAAATTTTAAATTCTATGTTGATGTTGATAACATTATAAGGAGAAGATAGAAAGAAAAAATAGAATGGGTATAGTTGAGAGAACGATCCACATAATCGCCCACTTCTTTAAGTAGCTCTGTTGCACTGTGTTATAACAATACAACTACAGGGGGCCGTGAGTCAAGATAAACAAAACAAGCTTCATGCTCAAAATAATGTAACACAAAGATAGGAAAGTATTTGCTTTGAAACATTTATAATAGGATAGGATAACATCAATTGGTCCCAACATCAAATTCTGGACAGAAATTTGAAAATCAAAACCATAAAAATAAAGTAGGGCGTTTGGGACAAAGCATATCCAGAGCTTTACAAGGATTAAGGGAGGTACCTCTTTAACAATAAATTTCAGAATGTTGGTAAATTTTCCAACAGTTGGCAATCCTTCTGGCTTCTCAAAAGCCACAAATGTCTGCCCAGGTGAATCATAAGGAAGAGATCTGAGAGGCTTGGAGAAAACCTCAGAAAATTCCTCCGCATCTGAGGCATCTACAATTACGGTAACCTGGAAAAGGGCCATGGAATTATAAACAAAATTTGTGGTACAATTGTATGATGAAGTTAACAGTATTCAGATCAGTTGTTACATCTTCCAGTAATTGCTCTGGTATGGTGTTTGTGCAGTTATACTGGAACACCACATGCCTATCAAAAATGTGCTTAACAACATTGACAGCATATTCTGTCTCTGCTTCAGTAAGTTCCACAGGCGGTGAGGACTGTTGAGAAATAGAACATTATAATATATTTTATCATATTCGAAAGAGAAACAAAGAAAACAAGAATTGAAATTGTGACAGAAAAATAAAGTAAAAAACCTTGAAGAGCTTCCCAAAGTTTGCAAACTCGGGAATGGAGGACAGCAGCCTTTCATATGCATCTGCAGTTGATGGAGGGCCACTTGGAGGAGCACCCAAACCAGTTGGCTTTTTGCCTGGCGCCTTCTTCTCTGCAAGTGGCTGAGACTTAACCTCCCTAGGCACAGAGTTGATGTCAAAAGGTTCTTCCGAAGGCTCCTGGAGTTTATATCATACATGTTAGGGAACGTCTTAGATACACAAATGGAAAGAAGGTAGAGGAGTCTTACATAATTTTTCAAACTATTCTCCAGATTCATGAGGGGGATATCAAAATAACCAAAGAGGAAGTCCTTAACATCTTTATCAGTCTCAAAAACTGTGTCATCTCCTCCAAGTGTATTAAGATAAAGTGTTGCCCTATCACGAACCTGCAATAGAATCAGAACTATCAATCAAGACACAAATTAAAAGATATAACACGTCCACATGACATGAATCCATAGCAAAAGGCAGGATAAAAGAGTAAGATGTAATCGTAATTTCCCCCCAAAAAAAAAGTGCAGTCACTTTTCAACAGAAACACATAAATAATTGCATATATGATGAAAGATATTGACAATTCAGACGGTAATTTTATTCTCAGATGTAAAAGCAAGAATTAGCAAACAGTAAAAAGTTCTTAAGTCCCAAACAGTTGCATGCATCTTATAAACAACTTAATTAAAGAGATGCACCATAAGATGACATATAATTACCTCATCATCACTGTCAAAAAGACATCGCCTCAGCAGAACGAATATCCGGGGCTGAGAAAGTGAAGAATGACATCTCAAATTAAGTTAGAAACTAATAAAGCCCCCAAAAAAAGTAAAAATTCTAAGAGAAAATCAAAATAAAAAACAAAATCAATAAACAGAAGCAAGTGATACCTTCAATGATTCAACTGCAGCACCAAACTTTGCCAAAGTGCTAACAGCACTGGCCCTGACAGTTGCGTTCTCAAGATGCACTCTATTATATATGTAACGTATATATTTGCTGGGGTCAGAAGTTTTTGGTCCTTCAACTCCCAGGAAGTGCAGTATCTAATAAAAGAAGAGAAAATGAACAGAGTGGATTGCCTAAACTAAAACATCAAAGAACAGGGATGAACCAAAATGGAACCTGTGTGGACAAATAGGTGAATTCGCAATCTTCAATGAACTCACAAAGATGAAGCAACCCACTCTCCTTTGCATCTGGGATATCTCTTATTAGAATCACAATTGAATCTACGATTGCCTTCTTGTACTCAAATCCACCTTCTTCCCGAAGAATGTTACTCAAGAAGTTCATCCTGTGAACAATCAAAGAACACTAACATTTAATTGGGATCATTTATTTAAAATAATTGCTCAACAAGATGCAAAACTTGGGAAAAGAAACACATAGTAAACTCACAGAGATCGATATTTCAAGGGAAATTTTAAACACAGTGATCTTATGGCATCAACAACAACAATTTTGAACTCATCAGCGATATCTGACATAAAATTTGTAATCTGCTTCATAAGACGGTCCACACTGGATTCATTTCCTGTCTTCAACAGCGTAGTTATTGCAAGTGTGGCAATGCTTCTGTTTTGGTCAGAGATTAAACTTTCCATATCAATGTTGCAGTTGGTGACAGCCATGGGATGTGTCATTGCTACCTGCCAAATCCAAATCAATACTTAGCACTTAACCTGACAATGATGGTTGAATGTTTAACCCAATAAATATTGTCAGATTGACTACATTAGATTGCTTAACAACAGCATGTAATTTTAAAATGTTCCATCAACTTCTCCAGAATTATAGAAAGTAAAAATCTCAACTACCAAAGCCAAAAGGCACTGAGGTTTTCTGGCAGAGTCCCTTGTAGAGTAAGCACAAGTAATTCTTGTGGTATTTAAATGGCATTGTTCTTTTCCCTCGCAAGCTGCTTTTTAAGGGTAGGTTCCCTATGCTTGTTTAGATCTCCATCAGTTTTAGTCAGAACTGTACCAACCCCAGAAAAAAGAGCTACCTAAAAAGTGAGCAACCTGACGACCAAACTGAGCACTGCATGGTGCAGCTGCCAAGAGCATCAGCTCTTCAAGAGTGGTGCCATGATAGAGTCCCACATTGGGTAGCCCCATGTAATTCTTGCAGCACTTAAGTTCTATGGTTAAGCTGGATTTTATGGATGGTTTCCCATGTTTGCTTAGGTCTGCACTTTTTCTTCCAATGTGCTTCAGTGAAACAATAGATAGGGTTCCCAAATCCTTGATATTCTATAGCAGGAACTTGCTTCAGGACCTAGTTGAGAAACTCAAATATAAAAAGAGTGAGGTGTCCCCCTCAGTTAAATTTCTTTCTCCCTATAATAGAATACAACTTTTCTGGTATTTTTTCCATCCCATTCAAAGCCCTAAATTTTTAATGCCTAGAAACCTATTCTATCTCATCTATTTCAACCATTTCATTTCTCCCCTCTTAGAGAATTGTCCCCTTAACTTTCACAGCTTCCCAGTACAAAGCTTCATCTATTCTTCAAATGTTAACAACCTAATTTTTGTCCCCTTTGATTCTGTGTCTCCCAAGTAATAATTTCTTTTCTGTTCCTTTTTTTCCTTCATTTGTTTTGCAGCCTTACCTAATTACTTTCTTAAATAACTATCATTAATGCAATTTATTGCTTTGAATTAATAATATCAAGGATTGATTGTCGGAGTGGTTGATGTTGATAATTCAACTTGTAACAATTAAAATACAGTTATACATAGTATTAGTTTGTTGCCTTTCTATTGTTCTCATTTATGGCCACAAGGCTGTCTTACACAGTTGACTCTTCAGCATACACTCACTGACTATTTGGGGCCAGCCAAATACACTTTCTGAGTCTAATGGGACTATACAACAACAACAACAACAAGCCTTTATCCCACTAGGTGGGGTCGGCTACATGGATTGCAAGATGCCATTGTACTCTATCATTTATCAATCTTTTAGGAATATTATTAATTAAGAGATCGCGTTCAACAACTTCCAAGAGTGTTCTCTTAGGCCTTCCTCTACCTCTCTTAATCGGACTCAAAGTTATATGTTCCACTCTTCTCACTGGTGCCTCCCTTGGTCTTCTTTGTACATGCCCAAACCATCTCAACCGATTTTCTACCATTTTTTCCTCAATAGGTGCCACCCTCACTTTTTCGCGTACGTGCTTATTTTGAATTTTATCTTTACGTGTATGTCCGCACATCCATCGTAACATTCTCATCTCTGCTACAACCAAACTAAAATTGAAATTTAAGTGTTTCTGCAGAAGACTGACCTTGTTCAAAGTGCGAACAGCAGCAAATCTCAAGACTGGTTTAGAAGAACTTAGAAAGAGCTGAAGAACAGTAATTGCAGGAGTTAACTCCCGATTTGTTACACCATTGAGCTCAGTAATTGCTCTGGCTGCCTCAAAAATCACCATCTCTGATTTGTGGCGAAGGCAGCTCTCAAGAAAATCATAAAACGGACGGTCCCCCGTTTGTGTATTATTGCTTGACTCACGAATAACCTGAGGATATGATGCAAGATGAAGATGATGCAAATAAAAAACATCCCACCAATAATGTTTATAACAAAAGGAAAACGTACCTGACTGGTATAACGGATCAAAAGGCATTGGGCCAAGGGTGAGCGAACAGTTCCCCTCGTCAAGCTGGTAACCAACTTGCTAACAGCTAGGCGATCATTCTGCCTTATCTGCAACATGAATATCATCATATATATTAGCACTTTTCAGAATCTAAACCTGTATTCTACATGATGACAAGTAAGAATCTGAAAATGGAAATTTTACAGAAGAGCTTAAGAGGAATAGAAGTAATCAAAAAATTTTACATCACAGTCCTCAACACAAATTCCAGAAGATTATTGAAATAAAGATGTTAAAAAAGAAGAAAGAGGTAGAGCGTGCTCCATTTCTAGTTATATATAATCAATTCAGACAGTCAGCTTTTTTTTTTTTTTAAATAACAAAGAGGGTTACAAGAGACTAGACGAGTCTAACAGACACTGTCAGCTTATTCAACACAAAAAGTTGAAAGCATCTTGAATCTTCATGAATGCTTAAAAAAAAAAACATATCGCACACACTTTATACAATTTTCACATGAACTCAAAAGAAGTCACTCAAAAATTACTGCAATTTAAGCCATGTGTAAGGTGAAGTATACCAAAACCCTACACCTGTTGAAAGAAGGCGTGAGACCATAATATGGACTGGAAATGAAATAAGCCCATACATAAGTCAAATCACTTAAAAATGTGTTTAAAAGGGAATAATCAGCTTATCCTGAACATTCATTATCGAAGATTAGGAACTATGATAACTTATAGGCAAAAAAGTTGAAGCTCAACCAGTCCTCTCAAATTCCTAGATGGAGAAGTTGGGAACCAAACATTGTTTCAGTAAATGATCTTAAATGATTTGAAGTTTTAATATACAGCATTATTTAATTCACATTACCAAAACTCTACATGAAAAAAATTAATAAAGCAAATCACCTGATGTAGCAAAGCAAGTGCATGAAACTGCACAAGAGCTGCTCTTGATTGAACAGCTTCTTGAACCTCATTGCTCCACCTTTTCACAATCTCAGGATTTGTCTGAAAAGGGGAACATAAAATAAGCAAGCAGCATACATGAATATTCAAATACAACGAATCTCCAAGTGAAAATTAATAATACCTGTAGGAGATGAATGCCACTAACTAGGGCTGCACTTGCAACAACTGGATTCTTATCGACAATTGCTTGTTTCAAATACCTCTCGATTTGGGCAAGGAGGGTTCCATCTGTAATTCGACAAAGTACACGAATAGCATTTGCCCTATACATATCAGTCTTGCTATTCATGTCCTTCATGAGGGAGCTTGTCACAATTATAACCTTTACAAATATATGAGTAGAGGATCAGTCAGCAAACATGACAAGCAGACTGTTCGAGTAAATCTGACTAGCAATATTGAATTGAATTGCATAAAAACATGTGACCTCATCTGCTGAGGGAGAAAGCTCCTTTATCATCAGGTAGACCATCCTCCTCAGCCCAATATCCCTAGATTGGAAAAGCTTAGTCACAGCAAAGAAAACTTCTGTGGCTTCAATCTATGACATGAAGCATGAACAAATCATCCAAAGGGGGTCAACAATTACTATAGCACAATAATCCAAATGCAAAATGCAAATAAGCGTGGATCTTGAGAAAAATGAAAATTTAAAAGTACTGAGAATAAACTCTTGACCTTGGTAAATGTCTCTCCTTGATTCAATAGGTATAAAAGTTTTGTGATAACCTGGAAAGAAGATAATATACATAATGCCAAAAATGAATACCTGAATCGTAATAGGAACGCGATGGAAACAGATCAATTCAACGGTTCAAGATCAAACCTGGGAACATCTCCTAGCATCAAGTTGTGGGTCATTGAAAACCCTGGCTTCTTGAAGAACAGCACCCTTCTCAATTCCCAGAAAGGGAGAATACTCAGCTGTTCAACAAGTAGTAACCCAATTAATATTTACGGGCATTATGCTATAACAGAATCATGAAATAACATTAGTAGGATTGACGACACACCACCCGGCTAAGAACAAATGTTTAAAGAGGCTATAAGGTTAAAAGGAACAACTTGTCCCCGTGAACTTATTAAATTAAGAAGATACGAAAATCCAACTATCTACATTGGGAATTAAGTATTAAGATCAATCCGAATTTGCATGCTCCTTAACCTGATCAGATCAAATATGAGACAACGAGGCAAGCCTAAGTTCAACACTAGTTTAGCAATCCAAGTATAATAATCTACGCGAACCTGCCGCATTCATAATTCTAAAATGGAAAATAAACATAGATCTAGGAACGACAAGAGTGATCCAGTTGGGTTTGGGGCAACCCAAAGCAGCGAATTTTAAACACAAAAAGAATAGAAGACAGATCGAATTCACAAAAGTGGAAACAGACAGTGCTGTTCATCGCTCAACAATGCGGAGTTAGAAATAAGAGGGGAGGAATCACCTTCATCGTCCCGATCGTCGTCCTTCTTCACAAGCGGCTGAGCCATCGCCGGAGCAGGTGAATCTAAAAGATCTGGGAGCTAGAAAGCTAGGCTGGATCTGTGCCTCTCTCGATAGGCGCCAGTGGAGTTGAGAAATCAGGAGTAAGCGAGGTGAACGAAGGAGGAAATGCCCCCACTAACGCACAAAGAGGGCTCGGACTCGGAGCTCAGGATGGGGCAAGATCAGGTGCGGTGCGGTTTATTTTATAATTTGTAATAATTTATACTACCATTTTAAATATTTAATTCGGCTGAAGTTTTTACATTAGACAACAAGATTGTGTCAGGTTAATATATATATATATATATATATTTGACCTGAATTGACTGTTATACCCTCGGAAGAAATGCCAACTGCCGAGGATGCAAAATTTTTGGTTTGATGCCAAAAAAAAAAAATGTTCGACGTGAATTGACTGTTATACCCTCGGAAGAAATGCCAACTGCCGAGGATGCAAAATTTTGGTTTGAGGCATGTTTTAATTTTTGATTTAAAATTAAAATTGTGATTTCTGATATATGTCTCTGGCTGTTTTGCTTGCCATTACATACATTTGAAGCCAAGATAGTTCTAATGATTTATTTTTTTTTAAAGCGAAATAAGAGTAAGACTGATATTTTTTTATCGAGTAGTTGACACTTTATCCCTCAAAAATAGTTGCCACGTGTTAGGTAAAAGGGGGGTAAAATGTGAATATATGTTTTAAGGTTGAAATTTTTTTATATAATAAAAAAATAATTCCTACTCAAAAAATTAGTGTGTTGAATTGCATTCTAAATGAATTTTCTTTTTTTTTCTAAGATCGGGAGTCATTTATCTAGGCACTTCTTTAAAATAGAATAAAGATGTAAATTTAATCATATATTATTTTTCTAAGAGCATCTAGTGGCTTAAACTATTAAGTGGTGGAAAATAAATTTTCAACTTTTAAAAATGAAGCATCTAGTAGCCTGTCGTTAACTTCATCTAACAGACGTTATGTAGGTCACACAATAACATGTGACACTCCACGTCAACATGTGTAAAGATAAAAATTTAACCATGAACTATTTTTCAAAAAATATTGGGTAGTTTTTACTATAAAAAATAGATTGTTCAATACCTTCGTATCAATTTTGACCAAACGTCATTTATTTCATATTTATGAAACCTCACAATGCATTAATCTCTCCAATTTTCTTATCTTCGTTCTTAGTCTTGGCTTAAAAAGAAAAGGTTTAAAGAATTTTTATCTGAAGACATTTACGAAAATGATGCTAACAAAATAGAAGAAATAATTTGTGATTAAACTAAACTATAATCAAGCTTCTTTCATACATAGTAAAATCAAGCTTATACTTCATCAGCATTATCCTCATGAATGTCTTCAGATAAGAAGTCTTTGAATTTTTTCTTCTCAAGCTAAGATTGAAAATAAAGGTAAGAAAATTAGAGAGATTGGGGCGTTGTGGGTCTCATGAACATAAAAATAAATGATATTTAGTTAAAATTAATGAAAAGGTATTGGATGGGCCTTTTTTTATATTAGAGGTTATCCAATAATCATCAGAAAATAGTTTGTGGTTAAATTTATACTTTATACATGCTGACATATAATGTCCTTGGAGTACCATGTATCATTGTGAACCCCACATAACGTTCGCTAGGTGAAGTTAAAGCCAAATTATCGAATGCTTCATTTTTTAAAGTTGAGGATTTATTTTGCACCACTTAATAGACTATCAAATGTTCTTAAAAAAATAATTCATGATGAAATTTGCTACTTTACCCTTAAAAAATGTCAATTATTTTGAATAGTTTTTAGTTATATACATTTTGCAGCAAAGCCATAGGAAGGGAAGGGGCTCCACCGAGCACAGGATCGAAACATTGCATGTCTCTCGGGGAGCATGGGTTAGACTTTATGTCTTTGGGCCATGCTCTCTTGCAGCTTTGCAAGCCTATTCATTCATATCAATCTTCTTTGATAAAAACATAATTGGACTTTCAGAGAGCTGTGGAGAGGATAATTTTCCACAGCAAAAATTACTACTAAGCATGAATGTTTTTTTAAATATTACTTCTCAATTTCTAATAAATAATTTTAGGGTTGTTATATCAAAACTAAGTACACCATTAAGAAATTCAACATATTATTGTTGTTTGCTGGAAATTTTAGTGCCTTTGGTGTCTCTGCCTAAAAAATGTAATTAGTGGTATAAGTAGTTATTTAAATGTTTATTAGTTTTCTACATCTGTTTTTCAAGTTGCAATACCACTAAATAGAAAGCAACGTGACAGAAATGGCGTCCAAAAAATACACATGTGCTGGGTGTATCATTTTATTAAAAAGACCCAAAAAGGAATGCGATCACAATTATTTACTAACAATATTGTGAGATTGGGCATGAAGTAATTTAGGCTGAATTATTTTCATTCTTGCATTTATATATGTTGAAAAGGTGAAACATAACATAAGATGATGTGGCTACATACGAGTTTTTCACCTCTTATCTCATAATAATTCTACATATTAATTTTTTAATTGAAAGCCAAAAAATGTCATTTTATGTTAAAAAAGGAAAAATTGCTGAAAAAGACTCCACCAAAAATTTAATTGCTCATAAGGACTTGGGAGAGATTATAATTTGAGGTCCTTCCCTTATATTAATTTGGAATTCCAAATGACAACATTGCCTTTATGATTAAAAACAAAAGCAAAAATTGTGTAAGGTCCTTCGATGACAACATTTCACACAAGGTTCTTCGTTGTCAACATGTCATAAGGTCCTTTGGTATCAATAGTTTTGGTGTCAACATGTTAAATAATGTCCTTCAATGTCAATATGTCAAAGCAAGATCCTTATGAAAACAATGTCTTCCACAATGTACAAGTACTCTTCCAAAAATGTAGCTTAGCTTTCAAATATTCGAATATCTAAATTACATATCCTGAAAATTATGTGTTGGTGTCAAATTTTTACATTGAATGTGATTTAGCTTTAACTATATGCATTTCTTCTTCCATTGTACGCGTGCAACATTCAAGAAAGTGTAATCTAACTTTCATATATTTAAAATCACTTTTGCATATTTGAATATTACTTAACAATATCCTTTATGATATCTTTAGAAGCAAATGCAATGTTTCTTCCATGATATGTGACTGATCTTTATTGAAATGCAATTTTCTTTCATATGTTTGAATATCACTTTTGCATATTCAAATATCCTTTATGGATATCTTTGAAAGTAGGGCTATGCAAAAGTTCTTTAATCTGGTTCGACCCAATCCAACCCAAGATAATCCTGTCCTATTTGGTCCTTATAAACACTAGTCCTTTAAAATCAAAAAAATTGAAAAGACCAAACTATTTTTTTGAGTTGGAATAGACAGGAGACTGAGCATCTGAACCACTTGGTCTAGTCTGGTCCTATTACTTTATTTAATATAATTATAATTAATTTATTTCTGACAAATGCTTCAAGTGTAATTGATGCTAAGGAGATAATTGCATGAAGATTTGTTAAGTTTGTTTTTAAATTATTGTTGTAATGTAGTGTTGTTGGAATTTGTTTAGTGTTATTTTTGTTGAAATTATAAATTTAAATTATTTAGACTGTAATTGGAATATTTTTTTTCTTGTTGTTGGAAATTATTTTAGATTTATTATAATTATAAGTGATTTTATTATCTTAATTGGGTTTATTAGGTTGAAATGAATTATTACCTCTCATATAGAAAAAAGAAAAAAAATAATTAAGTGAGTATTGGATTAACAGGACCAGTCTTCTAGTCTTATGGACCAAATCTGATCCTATTAATCTTCTGGTTATCATTGGACAAGACTAAATTATGGGTTGCCTAACCCAATCCTTTTTATGAAAGAGATTAGATTTCGGGTTAAGCCGAAGTCTAGTGTCGTCTAGTCCTTTAAGCAACCCTATTTGCAAGCATATGCGATTGATTTTTATAACAGCCCTTACCCCACCCCATCGGGGGTCTTTTGGACTAGAGCCTTAACCACTCACACAGCGGGCCCAGCTTTCCCCAAGATGGTACTTGACTCAATAGTACCAGACTTAACCTCAACTTCATTAAGGTAGTAGAGGTTAGAGGTTCGAATATAGGAAGGCTTCAAAAGACCTCTTTGGTGGGGTGAGGAATAACCCAAATACCACCTTGGAGAAAGCTGGGCCCGCTGTGTGAGTGGTTAAGGCTCCAGTCCAAAAGACCCCCAGTGGGGTGGGGTGAGGGCTATTACAATCTTCAACGAAAAGCTATTTTCTTCTATATATTTGAATATGTTTTTTTCATCTTCTAACAAAAAGTTCTAGTGTCAAAATTTTCTATAAAATGCACCTTATATTCAAATATTCTTTTTGCATATCCTAAAAAATAATTTTGGTGTCAAAATTCTACATTAAATGTACCTTATATTTGAAGATGCTTTTTGCATATTCAAAAAAAAAAAATAGTTTTGAAATCAAAATTTTACATCAAAGGCACTTTATATTTGAATATTCATTTCACATATTCTAAAAATTGTATCATTTTTCATGAACACACTAATGGTTAGATATTCTATTGTGATACTTTAAAAATTTTCCTCATTTTTCATGAACACACCAATGGTTAGATATTCTTTTGTGATACTTTAAAAATTTTTCTCATTTTCATGAAAACATGTTTTTGATATTCTAAAAGCCAAGTGTTAGAAATGAAAAAAAAAGTCCCTAAATCATCAATTCAACAATGAAACTTATGAAATATTGAGCAATTGTACCCTCAACTATTTCAATAAGGTATGTAATAGTTAGTTATATGAATTTTAGGGATAAAATTTTTAAAAGGAGGGGAGAATCGTAACATTTGAAAAAATCTGACCTTTAATTAGATGGGTGAATGAGGTTGATTATGTAAATTAATGTGGTGTATGATTATAAAGAGCTAACGGGTATTTTAAGTTTAGGTTTTAGCCCTAAGATTGAGTTCGAAGCAAAGTCGGACCACCCGAACGTCAAAAAGTAAGAAAAATAAAGAGAAATTATTTTGTGCCATATGTCATGACATGTGCACAAGATGCCACAACACATGGTGCCATCAAAATATGAAGACCCTTCTTTGTACCACATATTGTAGTGCTTGTACAAGTGCCACCGCTTGTGGTTGTTTTTTTGCAAAAACAAGAGCATTCT